CCAAATCGATGCCTCTGTGCTGCAGCGCGCATTCAGAAATAACCTTGTAGCGGCGGCATCGATAAAATATTACACAACCCCATAAAAAAAAATTAAATTATTTTCTCCGATATCTGAGGAGGTGCACTTTGCGTTTTTGAGGTTGCTGAATCCGAATCCGAGGTCCGTTTATCCCCATCACGTCAGGGTTAGGGCATCCGAAGGTCAAATTGCGGAATGACTATTGAAAAATCTGGAAAAAATTATATATATGTTTTCGGGGTCGCTAAATCTGAATCTGGTGTTCTCTTGACCTTGAAGTGTCAGAATCAAGGTCAAATAAAGGTCAAAACCCTAAAATTTGATGATATGATCATTTTGACCCTGGATTCTTGAAGAGCAGAAAATTTTACGTCCGAATACGTATTTATCTTTTTTTACGGCATCCTTGAACTTACCCCTACGCTTCAAAATCAAAACAGGTGGAACTACTTTATCGGTATAAATATACTTGATTTTTGATTTCCTTTTCCTATTGAATCCATGAGTAATTGTCCTACAAAAGAAACATTCTTGTTTTGATTCCAGCATAGTCCATTTTACAGGTGCAGAGTATTTCAAATTTTAAAGATCTTTATTGTTTTTTTTGTAGGGCTGTGTGTAACATGCATATTAAAATCATGATTTTAAATTTTATAATTAGTATTATAAGTAGTAGTATTTAGTATTAGTAGTACTAGATACATTGTACTGGAGAATAAAAGAGTACTAGGAAAGATTCCTATTTATTTTTTATTTATTAAGATTATTATAATTTTTATTATTTATTAAGATTATTATTATTAATGGTAAAATAATTAGTTTGTGATGTAAAATATAAATGAATGAAAGTAGATTCGGTTTGAGTTGATTTGGTACTAAGTTTCTTTTCTTCTTTGCGAAGCGATAACTTGCATGGAAATGTAAATCATAAATCAAATAACTTTTACTGAGAATCTCCAGACCCTTAGGTACCCATTAGCTCAGGTCGACCAGTTGCTCGAATCCATTCTCTGCACCTGCAAACTAGTCAACAATCACTAGTTTGTTCCAGCGACCAACAGTCTATTGTTCTTTTTAATTTGCTAGTTTTGTGCACTGTTAATGGTTTCTTAAATGGTAAAAGGTAGATAATGATTTCTTATACTTACACGAATACTCGACATTGAATAAAATAAATTTTACGGATTTTAATTTATTTCTTTAACTTCTTTTTAATTCCTGACGTTTCGGGTGCTTTACAGATGTTTGAGGCTCCGATTTCATAGTTAGCCCGGATATCTTCAGATTTTGAATATATTGTTGGGAATGAGGGTAAAAAATGAAGGTAATCTCCCACTTGTTTTAGCAGTATAAAATATCAGGCTACTAAGAGGCATCAGTCGGTAATTCTACGAGTGTCACTGTCGTTACTATGCCCATTGGGGTATTTTACTAGTGTAGGCAAGGAAGGCCGTGTTGCCATGAGGCTGCCCTGTGTTACATTGAGATGAGTAATGATGCTGTTGGTTTGCATACTTTGGTGTTATCATGTAATTGGCGTCCTGATAGTAAGAAGGGTTTGTTACCGAGTAGTGTTCTTTTATTTAAATACTTTTGAGGATAATTTCTAACATCAGAAGTGGAATAGTTTCTTACGTCAGAAGTGGGATAAAGATCCCTGTTACCATCCACATATTATAATCTTTGAATAGTGTGAGGGTTATTACGTTTGTGAAGGACTACGATGCGACTCGCGTATCATATTATTATCGGCTTTGTTTTTATGTTAAATATCGTAATGAAATTTGCTGTTCTATTTACGACATTCACGTATCATTAGTGAAAAGTAAAATTATATAGTGAAATGTTTTAAGTCAAAAGTTAAATATTTTTGTTCGATTTTATATTAAAAGTACCCGCCAGTACTTTCATTGTTTCTAACGTACAAATATGTTAACAAATGTCGAAAGAAATGCTGGAAGTATAGACGAGTTACAATTTTGCATTCAGTGGAAATTTAACTTGCTCGAGTTTTGTTATAATTTGATACTTCATGTGAAATATGATTTGCGTGGGCGACATTTTAAAGTTCAAAATGTATAGTGATGTAACTATAAATAAATGTTTAACTTTAACGTGCTGTGAATTGAAAAAAATAAGAAGCCTTACTGTTACACTTATCAACATTTAAAATGTTGATAAGTGTAACAGTTTACTCCCAATATTATGTAGTCGACAAAATTGGGGGTTTGATGTCGAGAGGTTGGTAGGAGTCGCTACAACAATGATCAATGAGGAAGATGTAGTGACGGCTAATTGGACATGGTCAGGCGTGGTCGAGCCCTAGCAAATTTCGGCGGATCTTGCGGCAAGGCAACTCGAGCGGCCGCCAAGCACATGGTAGTTCGGCGCGGCAAATGGACGTCTGAGGTCTGACGCTTGCTCAGTCTTCGTTGCGAGTGATAAGCCACGTCACGCGGATATTTATCGGACTGAGCGATTAAATGGCTGTTGCAATTTGTGTGATGCCGTTTTTGCAATGTGTCATACTTTCATACAGTTGTTCTTTATATTTGCAATGTGTGTAGTGGACTACGCATCTGCATGCAGTTGCCTTTTGTAATGCTTAGATCTTGAGCAGTTGCCTTCTTCCTTTTGGAATATGTGGTGGGATCAGTCTCCCCACATAGTTGCTGCTTTTGCCATGTGTGTAATGGTTTGTGAGTGTTTGGTATGTGCGTTAAGCTCTAGCAAGAAGCGTTGTATACGAAAATGATTTTGACGATGTTTTCAATTCCGTAAAAGTTTAGCTGTCAATATGAAATGTATTCAAGAGCTCACTAACTGTGTGCTTTTGAATAACAATTGGTAAGATTTGAAAACAAGAGTTTATCGTTTCATGGACAGAAAGGGCCGAGACGGGAAAGTTACACGAAGCCAGTAACGTTACTTTAGTCTCCACACGAGGTGAGCTCACCCCATGCTTATTTTGAGGGTGAGTAGTTACATATGTATCGGAAATAATATAAATAGAATAAATATATAATAAATAGCTAACGCTGTGCTTCCTTTCTGGAAGAGTAATAAGGAGATATGCTACGCTACGCTAACGTTGTGCCTCTTTAAAAGTACAAGGCGGACAAACTAACGTTGTGCCTCTGTCGCGTCTAGCTTAAGTTATGCTAACGTCGTGCCTACGATTTAAGTAGTTAAGTTATGCGAACGTAATGCCTATGACTTAATCAGTTATTTTTAACTAACTTAAAAAAAAGGAGGTTCTCAATTTGACTGTGTTTATATGTGTTACTTCAGAACTATTTTCAATGTGAGCCGATTTTGATGATTTCTTTTTGTTTGAAAGTTAGTGCTTATCATGTGCTCTCATATAAATTTAAAATTTTTAAAATTTTTATTACAGATGTTAAATTTATATAATAATTTAATAATTTATTTTTTAAAATTTTTTACCCTCATTTCCAACATGGCCTCTCCTGACAGGAGTCCGTCCTCGGGCTCCCTTTAGCTTTATATATTAGTCTCCATCAACGGCATGGGGGATGCAGGCACCACATAGGTCACAGGCGACAAGCTTGGCAATGGCTCTACGTTAGCACAACGTGTCGTCAGAGTAAAGTCCTATGCACTACGTTCGCATAACTTAACACAAGTTGTAAAATTAAAAATTTTGTACAACCGATGTTAATAATAGATCTTTACCTATGAAATTGCTGTTCTGCATTACTGGCCATTTCAAATGAAAATAATTTTTATTTGGCTAAGAATTCTACTTTCAATATAATTTTATTTTAAAAACATGGAATTCTTTTTCAAAATTAGTCATTTGTTTATTGATTAGCGGTTATGTTTCATCGCATTTGAATATTTTTGGTCATCATGGATACTTTAAAAATTCGAGTAATTATGGAATATGAGTACAGTCGTGGCAGCAACGCGGCACAAGCGGCACGCAATATCAACGACGTTTATCGAGCGAATACTACAAAGTCTACAAACGAACGCATCGCCTGTTATTAGTTTGCCCGCTTCCGTTCTGGAAATTTTGAACTGAAAAATAAACCCCGTGGTTGTCCGAAGACTTTGGTCAACAATGATGAATTAAAGGCAATTGTGGAAGCTGATGATACGCAATTAGAGGCTGAATTAACAGCAGTTTTCGACGTTAGCATTAAAAAAAGATTGGTTCATTTGCGTCAAATTGGTAAGGTATAAAAGCTTGACAAATTGGTGCCCCACAAACTCAATGATCACCAGTGCGAAGTACGCGTCAAGACGTGCGATGAAAAATGGATTCCGTTTGACAATCGCAAGTGCAAGTTGGTTTAGATGCTGGTTCAACACCTAAACAATGCCCTAAACGAAAACTTACTCATTGGTTATTGTTTGGTGGTCTAGCGCCGGTGTGATTCATCATAGCTTCAAACGAGATGAGCATTATTACATTTACAATTATTGAGACGTGTACTGTGTAGAATTGAACACAATGATGGAGAAGCTCGCACGTCTTCTCCGCTGCTCCTGCACGACAACGCGCGACCTCATACTACACAACAGACAGTTTCCAAATTACAAGAGCTTGGGTTGGAAGCTCTCCGTTATCCGCCGTACTCACCCGTCCTTGCGCCTACAGCAGAGATTTCTAAAGTGGGTTCCGCAAAACCTAAGGGTTCCATGCTATAGTTACCATGGTTTCGGTTATATTTGCTTTTTAAACTTTAGTACAAATTATATTTTCAAATAGCGCAAAAAGTGATATGAGGAGAACCCATTACTATTACATAGGTAATAATAATAATAATAATATCGTTTATTCGCTTAAACATGGTACATCAGGGGTGACAAATAGTTGCGTATTATACATAGTCCACATGTTTACCACATCTGGCATGCGAAAATTATTAATTAAAGAAAAATAATTAGTTATGTACATAGATTAAATTAAACCAAATAAATATAAATTAAAAAATAAAAATTACAATCATAATTTCAAGCAAAGAAGCTAATTATGTATTATTCGATTAAATTAAACTAAATTAATATTACAATCATCATGTCAATCATTATAAATAGTAAAAATTAAAATGTCAAAAGATTACATATTAAAACTTCAAATCATTACATAAAAATAAAGTAAAAAATACAGTAATGTCAATTTAGGCAACAAGATTCTATTCATTTAAAAATTGTTTTACATCATAAACACATTTTACGTACATTGTACGTAGGTAGTTAGCAAGAATTCGGGACTTTGCCGCGGCGCGGTTGCGTGGTTTACTGGTTGCATCGCCCGCTCCCACCCGCGGTCGTGAGTTTTGAGTTGGTGTTAGGACAATGAAACAGGTTTTTCAGCTTTACTTATACAGAAAACAAATATCAGGTCTAGATTGGATGCTAACCGACCCGAACTATAAAGCAATTATTAACAAAACAGACAAAACAGTATTTTTCCTTATTTCACTTTTAAAATATTTTAAGTTCTTGTTTTTATTTAAATTTTATATTATATTAAAACTGTCTTTGATTTATAATCATTAGGTTTGGGGTTTCATAAAATAAAATGAATTTGGTGAGTGTTCCATTACCTTAAACGTTTAAGAACCCCTGGCCTACAGACTTATACTTTTTCCAAATTTTGGATAACTGTTTGGCGGGAAAAAAATTCAATAACCCGAGAGGCAGTACAATTTGCATTTGAAGAATTTGTTGCCTTCCGGCCATCTGTTTTCTTTAAGCAGGACATAAATAAACTGCCACTGCGTTAGCAAAGATTCATCGATTTCATGGGCGATTACTTTGATCAATAGAAAAAGAAAAAAAATTACGTTAACGTATTTCATGAAAAACGGCAATTTCATAGGTAAAGACTGAACAAAAGAAAGAAATGAGAACTTCATCAATATAGTCGAAGTTAATTAAATACACATTATTAAGGATAACTCAAAAACGACTGATTAAATCTTGATCTTTATGTGGTCCCACATGAAAAGCACCAGCTTTCAAATAAGAAAAGAATCATCAAAATCGGTTCACCTAGAAAAAAGTTCTGGTAACACACAAAAATATACAGTCGAATTGAGTACCTCCTCCTTTTTTGAAGCCATTATCAATTGCTGTCCGTTAGTCTCGCTAAAACCACAGAAAAGTACCTAGTACAGGTACACAAGGATCACTCTCTGATAGCAAACTTGCGAGTTTAATCGTCGCTAATATTCATAATACTTTGCACGCCTCTGATGCGACCTTCGGTTAAAATAGCCTACCGATTGTTGCCGCGCGCGTATTAAATCAGAATGCACCTTATAGCCGCGTGCGAGAGTCTGTATCACTTAGCCTGTTACGTGCCTTTGTTAAGGCCGCGCTTACTGTGGGTTAGGAGTTGTGAGAAAACAAATTGAATCCTTTGATATAAGTTTGTAGTAGTACACCGAGGTGTTATGCAATGTATTAGTAATTTGCTGATAATAAGAACATTATTGTTAAATGTGAGGCAGGTTAAAGGTATTACCTACTACTACTACCTGCTACCTGCTAAAAGGTGTCGAGGTAGACCGAGACTAACTTTCGAAGACCATGTGAGCAAATTGCTCGAAGAGGGGAGGGTCAAGAGTACTCGGATACCTAGACGTGTATGTATGAAGAAGATAATGAATCTGAAAGAAGGGAAAGAGGTATGTAAGGATCGTGACACTTGGCGATCTGTTCTCTCTGGCTACCCCGTCAGGGATTGTGCGTGAAGATAAGTAAGTACTACCTGCTTATACTTTATTCCTATTACATGCTGTGTGATGCCGGTAGAGTAGATACCATCACCCCATGTCTGCCAGTGGGTGTCGTAAAAGGCGATTAAGGGAATCTAAAGAAGTAGTGATTATCTAGTACTCCATCCACCAATCCGCATTGGGACGCGTGGTGAACTACTGCTCAAACCCCCTCCGTATAAGCGGAGCCCTGTGTCCCAGCAGTAAGCCAATATTTAGGCTGATGGTAATGATGATGATGTTACGTTATTTTTAATTAAAATTGACAACAGTTTTAGATTGTATAGGTATATAATTTGGTATAGATATGGTACGTGCCCAGAATCGTAGGTTATAAAGGCTTATAATATTATAATAGTATAGGAGCTAACGCATGTTTTGAAAAAACAATACTAATTTATTGTAAGGATTTTGACGCATCACTTTGTAATAACATCTCTAAAATATTTGTTATATTGTATATACCAATTTTTTTTCAAAATGATAAAGATGAAATAGGTATGAGATGAGATAGATAAGAAAGTGGATAACATAAAAACGGCGTTATACTTGTGTTGTGGTGGTGCGCCAGTGGAGTTTGAGCTGTCAAGTATTTGGATGTCTGTGTTTCTTTTTCTGACTGTTGTAAAGGTTCCGTCTGAGACGTCTGACTTGCAGTTGTAGGTCTTTTCAGTTGTGCATCTGTGTAAAATGGGTCTTCTTGAGATTTATTAGGGGAAATTTTAACTGGCAATGAACCACTTTTAAGGCCACATTTTTTGAAGGAAGAGTCATTAAAATGCACCGAACAAACATAGTAGTTGGAAGGGTTGAAATTAGGTTTGGATAATAAATCTTCTCTGTCTAGTAATGCTAACCATTCTTGACATCTGAAAAAAAAAAAAAAAACAAGACGTCACGAAATTTTCAAACTGTAATATATTATATTACTATCTTTACATATGAAATTGACGTTTTGTATGGGAGGAATATAAAGTATTTTTTTTTGTAAAATATATTTAATTAATCAAAGTATGCACTGTTGTTATCTATGAACTTTTGTCATCTCATAGTATTCATTGATCGCTCTACTATAAAAAACATGGGGGCGAGAATCAATAAACTCTTTGAAAGCGGTTCGGACTGCCGCATCGGAGTTGAATTTTTTTCCTTGTAAGAAGTTGTCCAAATTCCGGAAAAAATCGTAATCTGTTGAAGCAAGGTCCGGGGAGTACGGTGGATGTCGCAGACATTCCAATTGTAGCTCATCTATCTTAGTGGTTGTTTGATGTGCAGTGTGTGGTTTTGCGTTGTCGTGAAGCAGCAGTGGCCTAGAGCGATTGATAGTTCTTCCTTCATGGTTTGCAGTTACTGACAATAGATATCTGCCGTAATCGTTTGGCCAGATTTTAGAAAGCTGTAGTGAACGACACCGGCGCTAGTCCACCAAACACTCACAAGTAACTTTTTCTGAGTCAATTTTCGTTTAGGGCAGGATTTGGCTGGGTCTCCAGGGTTCAGCCATTGCGACGAGCGCTTCCGATTATCGTACAGTATCCACTTTTCATCACAAGTAATGATTCGATTTAAAATCCCTTCATTATTGTGTCGGTTGAGCAAAGTAACACAGCAGTCGACGCGTGTTTGCAAGTTCGATTCACTCAATTCATGAGGTTCTTTGTGTTCTTTTGTGTTCTTTGTGTTCTTTTCTTAAAAAAAATAATATACCCATCGTTCAAGTTTTTTTACTTTCCCGATTTGCTTCAAGTGGATTAATATAGCTTTATCACTTACAATAGTCTTTAATTCTTCATTTTCCACTTTGGTTTCCGGCAGTCCACGGGGTTGGTTCTGAAGGTCGAAATTTCCAGAAAGAAAACGTTGAAATCAAAAAACGTACCGTGCTTTCTTTTGCGACACCAGCACCGTACACATCATTAATCCTTCGAGCTGTTTCTGCAGCACTGGTGCCACGGTAGGACTCGTACTCGTAAATATACCGATATTTCATGTTTTCCATTGTGCGGTATTAAGCGACGCCATAGAAAAAAATAATAAGTAAAAAACAAATTAATTACTGTTTTCAAAACTCAAATGTACCAGCTAAATTAATTTATAAATTTGAATTTGGAATTCTTAACCAAAGAGGAGATATTTCAGATCAAAGTGTTAGTTTTTTTTTATAGGATAGGGTGACTAACGAGCACACAGTCCACCTGATGGTAAGTGGTTGTTGTGGCCCATAGACATCTACATCTATCCTCGTTAGGGGAAACATGCAGATGCGTTGTCACCCGTGAGGACTAAGATGGAATGCCTCTTTTCCAGTAAAAAGGATCTCCGGTTCTCTATACTCACCATACGAAATACAGCAGTGTTAAGCTGCTATTTTACGCTGGTATTCTGTGAGAGCGTGGTCCTTCCCCAGTCGAGCCGACCCATTCGTGCTACAACTATACTACTAATATAGCTGCAGCATGGCTCTACCACGTACAAATCGCTAATTTCATATGTAAGAACCTAATGTAATGATGGACCATCTGCATAATGTTAAAGTGAAGGCTAAAGGCGTTTGTAAGTTTATGCTTTTTAATATCGTATCTATTTTACCTAAATACTGATTCATGTAAGTACTAATGTTACATCAACTCTCAGACTATACTACTAATATGACACGACAAAAACATTAAAAAAGAAAGAAAGAAAGGAAAAGCTAAGGTAGGTATATAAAACTTTATTGGTTTCAGCTGTGCATTGATATGTCAGTCAATCAGTCAGTTTTCTTGTTCAAAAATAAGAAACTAAATGTTAGAAGAAAAGGACATCACTATTTATTAACAACATTAAGTGACAAGTTTGGGCCCCACGGAATTTCATGTAAGAAAAGTGCTGGTAGGTTTTCAAGGCACGGTTCTTTGAACGATGTCATCCCAAGGGCTCTTGTCTCTTGTATAAATATTCCGTCGGTTTTAGAGCCTTGTGGAATATTAAGAGACGATGGCAAGAGACCCGACGGTATGACATTAGTCCCTTGGATGAGAGGTAAAGTCCTAGTGTGGGTAGCTACTTGCGTAGACACTTTGGCGTCGTCTCATCTCAGGGTTACCTCGTTTAGAGCCGGGCCGGCATCAGAGGCAGCTGAACTGAGTAAGTGGCGCAAATATGAGTCTCTGTGAGATGACTACATATTTGTGCCATTTGCTGTAGATACTATCGGTCCGTGGGGTCCACGTGCGGTGAAGTTCCTAAAAGAACTCCACCTGCGACTGGTCGTTGCTACTGGTGATAAGAGGGCTGGTTCTTTTCCCGCTCAAAGGCTAAGTATAGCTATTCAGCGGGGAAACGCAGCCAACATTCTTGACACGATACCGCGGGGAGTAGGACTGTGTGATAATAAAGTTACTAGTTTTAGTTTTTTTTTTAATTATAGTTTTCGTAATAGTACGTAAGTACGTACGTAGTACGTTAATACCAATTCATCAAGTAGGTACTAATTATACATCAGCTCTTGGACTATACAACTTGTTTGACACGACAAAATCATAAGGAAAGAAAAACCGAAAACTCAAGATAGGTAGGTTTCAGCTGTGCATATGTCAGTCAATCAGTCAGTTTTCTAATGTTTAGGTAGGTAGGATCTACGTACAGTAATAATAAACGTACCTATTGTACTCGTAAGTACCTTGGTAATAATTAACATTTTGCAATATGCAACATCGAGAAAACTTAAGATTACAACGTGAACGTCCTTGAAACTCAGATAATTTACATACTTACCATTTTCTGGTTTACATTTTTTGCTATTTACAAACATGGCGACACACGACGGCATTAATGAAAGAGTGCCAATGAGAAGCGCTGCTATTTTTATTCTCTTTCTTTAATCAACCAAGTACGTGTTTGACTAACAACCCTAATAAATACTACATTATGCTGATCTTGTATTAGTAGGCAGTCACTAGTACTGGGAGGTCTACTTACACTAAACGATTTTGTAAGATCATTGACATTATACGCGAAAAAATCGAATGAATTGCAAAGCTGTAGTCGGGTCATTAATCAAATAATAAATCTGTAACATGGCTGATTTGTTTGAAGTCCCGATGGCATAGTTAGCCCGGCTAACTTCAGTTTTTGAATATAAATTTTTGGTCCGAACTACGCAAAAAGTCAAATTAAACGCGATAAAATCCATACAAATTAGTTTCATTTAATGTGTAGTCTTCGCGTAAATATAAGAAATATCTTACCTTTCGATATCCTTAGGAACAGTAAAGAATGAAAAGTCGACATTCCTATTGTTACTTAAGCACCCGTATGCTATGCAGTACCTTTTGGCTTTTTGAGTGGCCATACTTGAACAAAATCTTAAAAAATAAATATTAAAAGTGCCTAAATACTTATAAGAGAAAAATACTTTTTTGTTAACGTAAGGCGCGCGTTAGCTTAAGTGCGCGCGTGACACCTCACTGAATTAGCCTCTTGTAGGCGGCCGCGGCCGCGCAGCGTAGGTAGACATATATTCATGCCTAAAGCGCGGAGTGAGACAGGCCTTGATCTAATGGCTCCACTGGCGCACTCGGCGAGCGCGCTCGGCCAACGTGTACTGGGCCGTTTTGTGTGTATTTGGCGTAGGACAGTTACTATACTCTTTGATTTGGCGTTTGCGGCCAACACTCGCCCACAAGCCGTATAGTGTCGGTTTTCCGTGCACAAATCAAAGAAATTTGGCGCAAGCCGCAAACAGCGATCACACGTTGGCCGAGTGTTCAGTTCATAGTTACGCGTCGAAGTAGACTGTAGTGTCGGCTTAATAAAATTGTTTCAACATGGCGACATGGACTAATGAGGAAATATTTATTTATTTATTTAACAGTTTATGTACACACATAATTTCGATAGGAAAATGGTAAAAACATAATTATGTACAAAGGCACTGCCTATTCCATGATGAAATTTCTTCCAGCAGGCCTATTGAAGGATAGTTGAAGGAAATAGAGGTAGTCAAAGTGTGCACTTACATAAATATACATATACAATACAAATATATACATATATACACACATGTATATACATATATATATATATTTATATGTATATATGCGCATGTATATATATAAATAAATATTATATATTATGAAAAATATATAATTCAATATAAGGTACGTTGGGGTAATACCGGACGGATTTTCGAATAGTTGGAAGAGTCTGCCAAAAACTTTAATTTCTCGACATTCGTATACGTCAGATTTATGGAACATGGAGCAAACCGTTAATCGTTAAACGTAGTTTAGCTCTGAGAATCTTTTGCTTGTGTAAACTCAACGGTTTCTGCTTTAAAGGTGTGCGAAAACTAGACATACTTTTTTATATGCATAATGAAAAATTGGCCATTAAGGGGTAAGACCGGAGTTAAATTTAAAACCACTTCTACTGCTTAGAGAAAAAAGTTTATAAAAGAGATTTGTCCTATCTTTAACGCTCAAAAACATATTTCAATATGATCTATAAATTACTAGAAACATAAATGTTCCAAACGATTTTCTCTTTTTTTGTTTCTTGCCATCCGATCTTATCTTTGTTATGACATAAGATGGAATTACTCAATATAAGAGAAAGATCGGATGCATTTGATTTTATATGGAAAAAAAAATAACAGTAAGGACTAGCGAAATGCCCTGGGATAATGCAGGAGTTAAGGAAGATATAAATATTTTAACAAAGCGGCATTTATTATTATAAATTATTTTTAAAATAATTATTATAAATTACATTTTGATTTGTAATAGAGGATAGATATAGATGTCTATGGGCCGCAGCAATCACTTAACATCAGGTGGACTGTGTGCTCCTTTGTCACCCTTATCCTATAAAAAAAATGTATTTTAATGTGTACTTAAAAGTGATAAAACCATCATATTGTTTTATTACTTTTAAATATACAGACTTGCTAACTAGACTGAGTCCCATAGTCACTTGAGTAATCAACGAAAAAATATACACGACCAATGAAAGTTTAACAACCACTGCCATATTTGTAATAGGCAAAGATCGGATAATATTCATCCGATCTTCACTCACGAGGGGAAACATCGGATCTCGGCCTACAGCGATCTTACCCCTGCATGGACCAGCTTTATTTAGCTATAACTTCATAAAAATTAGTATCCACACAAAATAATAACAAAAGAAGCCATATTCTCGCTAAAAATCGTAAATAAAAGTGATAGGGAAAGATCGGATGGACAAAAATAATACAAAAATTACATTGTTTTATAAAATGCCACGCAGCACAGGTCCCACTTGCCGGAGTGACTGGCGCGAACTGAGGGTCGGGGCAGGATGAAATGGCGTCGTGTAGCATATTGTTAGCTTTTCAAAATATAGCATAATTCGCCGGGAATTTGAATCCTACGGTCTTGCCCCATCACCGATCTTACCCCAACGTACCTTAATATATTTTTAATGTTACTTATATGCATACCAACACATTACGATTTAATAATTATGGAGTGAAATATTGATTCATTGTTCATTGATTGATTCTCACAATTAATCAGTTATATGGAAGCCCAAACATGAGCAACATAAAAATTAAACCAGAGTAAGTAACTTGCCTAACTGCATTAAATAATACATGTTTAGTTGCGATTTCAGACTATCTACCTAATGATAAATATTATTATAAATTATCTCTGCGTTTATGTTGCTCAGGGATAATGTAGCTTAAGGGCCTCTTTTGGGCTATCATTTATTTTGAAGAAACCCCCAGCAAAGCGGGCACGGGTCAGCTAGTAGATCCTATAAAGATTTCTTTTGTCCTTTTGAGGTCGGAACCCTAAAAAGGACAAACTGGGATTATTGTTGTATGTGTAGTTTTTTTTTCGTTCACTCTGAGAAGAGTGAAGCGCTGTATAAGTATATGACAGCGGCCGCGATTGCCCTAACGTCCATCATCATAGCAATCATCAATAGCTACCAACGCAGAATGAAACACGCCAACGTGTGAACGGCACCATGAAAATCTGCCGAGTGCGCTCGCCAAGCGCGCTCGGCCAACGTGTACTGGAGCCATAAGATATTTTCAAAAGTATAGATACGTCAGACTCGCTCTAAAATGGCAATACGAAAGTCAGGTAATTGCCCGACTAGCATTCAGTCGGGCACGCTCTCGCGTCGCGGCTAAACATTCGCTACAGCGCGTAAATTTTCTGGTTATTCGTAGCAAAAATGCCTTCCTGTGTTTTTAGGTGGTGCGCACATTTCCATATCGGTATGTCACGCGCTCGCACCAATGAGTGCTTGGCAGCAATCAATACGCAAATAATGATGTATACTCATCTTTTTCTAACGATAGGTATGCCCTATCATTTGTCTCTTTTTGTTAGCGCAACTTGTCATAATAAATAACTGTACGTAGATATAGTACTACCTGCGCCACTTTAAAATACAATAATGTTAGTGTGTAACCTGTCTATCTTTTTTAATACGTCTTTGGCCTTGATTTGGTATTTAGGTTGCGCATTTTGTAAATTCGGTAGCGTTACACTTGGTATTGCGTTTCTTTCGTCTTCTTTGCGAAGTGATCACTTGCACAGAAATGTAAATCACAAATCCAATAACTTTTGTTGAGAATCTCTAGACTCTTAATGCAATTAATTTTGTTAATATTTGGTTTTTGATTTGTATATTTTGTATATTGTTAATGGTTTCTTAAATGGCATAAAGTAATGATTTCTTATACTTGTAGCGGGTGGAAGGAAAAGGGGAGATCTCCCGCCGGGCAAGGTGTTATGCCCGGGGAGCAGCCAACGCTCCAAGTTTGTAGTTCGGAGCTATAGAATAGAATAGAATAGAATAGAATATTTTTTATTCAATATACATTACATGTGTAATTCTTATTGAAAGTCATTTTTTACTTTACCACTGGTTCGAAAAAACCCTCTGTCCTGGGAAGAACCAGCAAGAAACCCAGCGGGACTTTTTTTTTAAATAAATTTTACAATATAAATTATTACGAACTATTTACAAAATTTATTTTAGAAACTGCTTGGAAGCGATCACCTCATTCCCAAGGGTTATTATCAACCATGTATTCATTTATACTATAATAAGCCTTTTTATACAGTTTCAGCTTAATAAAACATTTAAACTTGGTAATAGAGAGAACCTGTACACTTTCCGGGACCTTGTTGTAATAGCGTATACATTGCCCCAAGAATGAATTACTGACTCTGTGGAGTCGAGAAACTGGTATCACTAGCTTGTGTTTGTTCCTAGTGTTTACAGAATGTATATCACTTCTTTTACTAAAACTATCTTTGTTTTTGTGAACATACATTAAATTTTCGTAAATATACTGAGAGGCCAAAGTTAATATATTAATTTCTTTAAATTTATCTCTAAGAGACTCTCTCGGTTTTAGATTGTAAATAGCTCTAATGGCCCTCTTCTGTAAAACAAAAATAGTTTCTGAATCAGCCGCATTTCCCCATAGCAAAATCCCATAAGACATTATGCTATGAAAATAACTAAAATAAACTAATCTAGCTGTCTCGACACTAGTGAGAACTCTAATCTTTTTTACAGCATAGGCTGCAGAACTTAGTCTGCTTGCTAATTTGGATATATGGGGGCCCCACTGGAGCTTTGCGTCAAGAGTGATGCCAAGAAAAACAGTGGATACAACAGGGCTCAATTCCTCCCCATTTAAAAACACATTGGTATTCAGATTTTGAACATTCGTTGTTGTAAATTTAACACAATTAGTTTTATTTCCGTTCAAATGCAGATTATTAACGTTAAACCAATGCACTAATTTTGATATAGCATTATTCACTTCGTCACATTTAAATGATTGACGTTTAAGTTTAAAAATCAAGGAAGTATCATCAGCAAATAATACTATATCATGACTATCCCCTACAAGGTGAGGTAAGTCATTAATATACACCAGAAACAGGAATGGGCCGAGAATCGAGCCCTGAGGTACACCCATTAGTACAGGTGACCCGGAAGAACTTTTACCATTGATAATAACCTTCTGTTTTCTATTACTTAAATATGAAATAATAAGTTTAAGCGCTGTGTTCTTGACACCATAGTACTGTAGCTTCCTGATTAATGTCTCATGGTGAACACAGTCGAAGGCCTTGGAAAGGTCACAAAATATACCCAAAGCATCCTCTGATTTCTCCCATGCACAAAAAATATGTTTAATAAGCTCAACTCCAGCGTCAGTTGTCGAGCGACCCCTTGTAAAACCGAATTGATTATTATGTAGCAATTTATTAATATTAAAGAAACTTAACATCTGATCTAAAATAATTTTTTCAAAAATTTTACTTAATGTTGGTAGTACAGAAATTGGTCTAAAATTGGCGGGGTCTAATGTACTACCAGATTTAAATATAGGTATGACTTTACTATGTTTCATTAAATCAGGAAACACACCAGATTCGACGCTTATAT